ACTGTATTTTTTAAGAACTCTGGCATGGGAATTCAAACTGCTTGGATCCAAATCTTGTGAATTCTTGGAGTATGAACCTAACATTACTGTGTCTCCTTCTTCATCATAAATGGAGACGAAAATAGGGCATACCTTGTAGGGCTATTTCCAGGATAGAATAAAATAATACAAATAAAGTAGTTAGAAATTTACCTGGCTTCTAAGTTAAAAATTCAAACAGGTTAAGTATTAATTACCTGTGATTTCCAATGTCAACAGGCATAATAGGTACTGAGGCACTCTGTGGAATACTGATTTTATCAATTTGTCTAACCTTAGTTATACAAGGTTTCCTAAATGTGATAAGATAAGGTCATCAGACAGATCAATTATCATTATAGTTGGAGGACCCGGATGCCATACATGTTTTGCCTCATTAATAAAATTTCCTTTGGAAAGGAGCTTACCTGTGGAGGAATGTACCATAAATACAATGCATTACATTCAGGCTGGCCATTATTTAGCTGCACAGTCATTTTCTCTTTTCAGTGTCACCCCAGCTCCAAAATCTGCTCAAGTGCAATATCAGCTGCATGAAACTTTTACCTGTGTTAATGACCTTTAAGTGCCAGTCAGCAGGATGATGCATTCTCATTAGTGGTCCCCACCTCATTAGAAGCCTACTCTCACCGATAATGGATTTCAGAGGTCAATAAAAAATCTCAGGAAGAATTCTCTTCAATTTAATAGTTAGACAGGTGTGCGGAAGCCAAGTGCTATACCTGGTTGGATTCTGCATGCCTACAACAATTGCAAAGGCATCTGTAAAAACCGAGCACTAAATCCCAACATGGTTTCTGCCGAAGAAACCATTAACTCTAATACCAAGGAAGACTAAATAAAAATTTGATTGGATTCTTCCCATCCAGTTTTCAGAAAGTACTACAAGTCATCAGAGTGATCTCAATAACTCCCAGGAAGAGCATCTCTATTAAACACCCAAGAATTTATATTGGTTTTAATATCCAATCTCATGTCACCTGATAAATGAGCTACAGTAGCAGTGTCCTTTAAAAAAATGCAATGTCATCCTTCTAGCCTTTTCAACAAAAGTATCAATACTGAAACATAAGGTAAAATAGCTAAGCAACATAAAAAGTGTCGTGGTATTTCTGTTATTTCTCAGTGCCCCACGAAGGGATTATTCTGTCTCATGTGCATGGGTAGATACCTATAAGCCAGCCAGGGTCCACTTTAATAACAGCACTGATAAAGGTAAGAGCAGGGCTAGCCAGCAAGCTTGCTAAAAAGCAGTGTCTAAGGAGTGGAGGCTTATGCACACACAAGCTACCCAAAGTAAGATGTGTTTTCTGAGATAAACTGGAGAGGAAAAGCTTAAATCAACCTTCTCTTCAAATAAACAAGACACATCTTATCAATGTAAGAGAAATCACCTACCCAGAAACTCCTTGCATTTCTGCCAAAAATGTATTTACAAACTATGTAGGAAAGGAGTTCTATGATGTCACTGCACCCTGGCCATGTCTCAAGATTTATAGTTAGTGACATTTGCACTAACCAGGTAGCAAATTGAATCTCACATGAGAAGGATGAAATAGGGAAATATAACGTGAATCCAAAAATAGTATTTTTCTGACAATAAAAAGTCAAGACCCAGAAAGGTATAGATGGCTTTGTGTTCTTATATAAACCATTTTTCCGTTATGAAGCATTCACATTTCAGAAAATCAAAGATGAAGCAAAGAAGTAGCATATACATTTAAATGTTCAAAATCCTCTGGCGTCTATTCATAACCGCTCAAGAGCAGAAAGGAAAAGCCGAATTAGATTTGGCTTCTGTCTCAGACAGTTCGGGGATGATCCCCCTGATGCTACAGAATTCAGTGCAAACTTCTTCAGGCAGTCAAGGCGACCCAGCAATTGGTAAACATTCAGACTTCCCCTGAGCTTCTCGCTATGCTTGACACAGTGACCAAGAATGAGTATCTCCTAGCGTTCATCAGTTCTAATCTGGAAATAAAACCATGCCCCATCCTCAGAGGATGCGTTTCTGTCATCTCCCATTCTGTAGTTCTCTCCTAACGGGGTTAGCATCTAAGTGGCCGCGCATTCAGCCCTTGACATACTCGCCTCCCCAGCTCCTCACTTCGGCAAATCAGCCGGGCAGGATTCGCCTCCCATCAAACCTGTGGAATAACCCACTCCTCCGGACTATGAGATACTTCTCCAGAAAATAATAATAATAAATGATAGATAGATATAGATCATTGGTCTCTAGAAAGAACATGTCAAGAAACCCGCTGTTCAACATGATTTCTTTCAAAACCCTTTCAGAAAGTGGAACTTGTAGTCAATTACTCTTCCAAACAGGAAATCAACTCTCTCTCTTACACACACACACGCGCGCACGCACACACACAAACACACACACACCGGGCGGGGGTGGGGAGTGGTGAAATTCTGTCAGCAGCTGAGAAAGTATCAGTCAGGTAGGAAGCACACAGCCCTGGATCGCGGTCTCTGCCCGAGGACGCGCTGGGGACCGCGCTCTCGCCGCGCTCGGTCTGGGACAGCCCACGGACCCCGCCCGCTGCCCGCTGGCAGCTCACGCCCTGCACCCCTTCCCGGAGGGAACGGCTCCGGTCGCAGGGGCCGCAGCAAGTCCGCGGTGGGAGGAGGCGCACAGGGCCGGCTCTCCCCACGCGTCCCGGAGCGCGCGGGTTACCACTTACATGCTC